TCAATTTTTCTATCACTAAATAAACACAAACAAAACAGAGACATGTTTATTTTGCAAAACAGTTTTAATAAACTAGAACAAAATACAAACTGTTTCTATTTTTTCCGGAGCCGGTAGGATAGCAAATGTATCGATAAACAAGATCATTTTGTCTCCGGTGACATTCCTATTTTTAAATTGTTCTTATTTTTTTTCGAACTGTTCGCATTTGGTTCGAAAAGACTTAATGTTTTTGTTTTGTCTCTACAATGTGAACCCGGCTTAATAAACGTCATACGTCGCATTTACAACAAACCAATTCAATAATATTATTAATTTGTTTAAGACTACCTAAACTTTAAAATAGAATGTTATAACAATAATTTTTTTTTTTTTTTTTTTTTTTATTTTTTTTTTTATTTAAAACAATAATTTAAAACAATGTTATTATGTGGATGTAAATATTCGATAAATTCAACTAAACATAGACCATGCTTTATGTATAGGTAAAACTTAAAATTATTTATCAGATAAAAAAAAATTAATTTTACAATAAAAACTACCAATTTTATTTCAAAGTACAATGTTTAAAGAATTTGATTAGTAATCATAGAGTTATTCTAATCAGTGGTTAAAGTGGGGAAAATGTTGTGGGGGGACTATATTCATCAAAAATTGAGGAGCGTTCCCCTTCCTAATTTTAAATCTTACCAACCTTTTTTAGAAAACACAAACGTCTAAAATTCTTTTGTTACACATATATGTTCATAACAATTTTATTTTCATAGGGTGTAAAAACAAATTTCCCCCAAAGAAAAATAATTTTATACATATGCCTGCTCAAAAAAAATAAAATTGAAATACATAGTAAGTAATGTTTAAAAAACTTATCTTAAACTTAACAAAACTTAAAAGAATCAATTACTAACCTTGCTAGTTGTTGGTCATCGTAGACAGTAAAATATACGTACATTGCACATAAGGTGTATACTGTCTATATTATAAGTAGGACCCGAATTTAAATGCACTTAAAACCATACAAATATGCTCCAAAAAATAGCCAAAAATGTCCTTAAAAAATGCATTTTACCACAAAAATGAACTTGAAAATGAAAAAATGACATTTTTTTTTGTTTTGGGCATTATTTAACACGCTATTTAATACATTACAATCACATTCACACGTAATACGAGCAAAGTCTGAGAGGTAATACGAACTAAAGTTGATTTGTTATTTGACCAAATACCGGTTCCATAGTCAATAATAAATTAAGATAAGATAAAAACTGAATCGAAAAATAAAGATTGACAATGTGTATGGAAAAACCTAATAAACCTAATTAAATATCAAAAAAATAATTTTTTTTTTTTGATTTTATTTTGAATGGGCTAAATTTGTTTAATAATTTTTTTTGTTTATCGAACAAATATGCATTAAAAACCAACAAAATGACTTAATAATACTAAAAATGCTCTAAAAATGAAAAAACGTCGAAATATGCAAAAAAATGCAAAAAAAATTTTGTAGTTTTGAAACCCTCATTACATGAAACGAATAATGTTTTTAGAAAGCATTGTGTATGATCAACCAAAAAATTATGCACTTCGCATTGAAATCTGGTCCCTAATTATAAGATAGTGTCTATCCTCTATCATAATTTAATATTTATGCTATTTTTAGTTATTATATTCTGTTTATATTTATTCTAAATAATAGTCGATATCACCATCTCTTTAATTTTAGAGCTATGGGTAATAACCACTCGGGGATCATCTATGATTAGACACAGCGTCAATTAAATTAACCCATGGTGTACATTATCTACCACATTTTCTTATCGTTATACCTAAATATTATTTCTCCGAAATTTTTTCCACTTGTTCAAATAAATCAAGAAAATAAATTTCATGTAATATTGTAATATTATAATAAGTATTGTATATTAAATATTGTATTTTAGTAACCAATGCCATTAAGCGTCCACTCCGACTTTTGGCGAATTAAATTAAAAAGGATGCATATATTTACCTTAAATAAAAAGGGGGACTCAGTCCCCTCCACTTTAACCGCTGATTCTAATCATTGATTATGTACAGTTTACTTATAATTATTAATTATCTTTTAAAGTATTTTAAACACACGTAAATTGTCAATGCATTAGATAATAATGTATGGTAAATATAAGAACACAAAACGTTTAACGAAATTTTTACATTAAGATGAATTTAACAAATTTAAAATCAAATTAATATTCAAACAACGACAAATGAATAACAATGTACGAGTAGCTGATAAAACAGTGTTTACGCGTACGGGCAGACATGATTACTGATTTACACGCGGGCGTGAACGTGACTGTTTAAATATCTCGGTAGAAAACAATAAATTATAACATAAGTAACTTTTTATTTTTGTGCAATCTGAAGTTAACCGTAGGTGTACTGCACCTACATAAGTATGAGAAAGTCCATATTTTTATTTTTTTTCTACAGGCGACGTTTAAAGGTTTTAAATTCAACACACTTACTTATCAACTTCATTATTATTCATAGCGTTTTACGGAGACAAAAATCAAGCGAGAATTTGTACAAAAAAAAGATTTCTAAGCCACCCATTCGTCTGACAACAAAATACGAATAATAGTAAAGATAAAAAATACAATTTACTATTTACCTGTTGTTTGAAACAGAAAATTAGTTACTGTACATTTTTATTCTAAGGTGCTCACCAAAGTGATATGACACGTTAAGTATCTGACCTTTGATATGACCAATAAGTAATAAGTGTTTTATGTGACCCGCGCCAAAATTACATGATTTTCTAATGACAAGTCATTTTTATGTTCTTTTTTTTTTTTTAATTTGCCATAATTTCATACTAACAAATATATTTAATTAATTTGGCGTTTTTGTTAACAGTTTATAATTCAATCAGTCCAGACGTCTATGAGCCCAACAATTTGTAAAATTACATTTAATTTTTTTCTAATAAATTTATAATTTTTTCAAGTTAAATACATATTTTTTTTGTTTTTCGTGCTATTCATAGCACATATTTTACAGTTTTTAAGTGCATATTTAAGAGTTAAAAAGTAAAAATTTTAATGCTACAACTTCCGAGCCCTGCTAATCATTAATTATAATAATAAATGCATACAGTATATATATATATATATAATTCATAACTTAACGGTAAATAATGCTTGATTATAAAATTTGTATGCATTTAATGTTTTCCAATAATCGTATTCATTCTTTGTATTTGACATATTTTATTTCTGTAAGACAAATTTTTGATAGTTAAATTTTTTATTTATTTTTATATATGTACTCGTATATAACTAATTGGTTGATTAACCTATAATTTTGCTTACGGATTTTTCAATTAATTGGACGAATGCTATATTGTTAATATTTATTATTTCAAATTCAATCAAATCATAATGATTTGTGTTTCTTGAAAGAAATGTATAAATGGTTAAAATTTAAATTTAAGAATTAAAGAATTTAAGATCTGGTGAAAGACATATTTATGACAACAAAAAAAGGTAGAATAAGTTGAGATATGCATTTTTTTTTATCATTTTCGATTTTAATAATAACTTTAGTCAATATTCGGTTTTTATTCTTATTACTCTCGAAACCTATTCTTCTAGAATTAATTAGAAATTAAAATCAACTAGAATTGTTCATAGTGTACCTTTTTTTATTATAAAATGTATTGCCTATTTATTTTAATATGAATTAATTATTAAACTGTCTACAATTCAGAGATCAATAGTTTGTGATTTATTTACAACACAATATGAGAACTCAATGAATATAATAAAACATAAAAAACAAAATCTTTTATCTAGAAATTAATAATACTTTACATAAATTACAAATATATTTCACTATTGAAAATGCATTAATATTAGTGCAGAAAATTATTTTAAAAACTTAAAGAGAAAATAGGAAGTTAAAAATATAAAATTGTAAATGCATTATTTTTTAAACTATGAGATTCTTAATTGATCGAAACACCTAAACAGTTAATGTCTTACATCTGTAAATAGTAAGAGATTCAATAATAATTAACAATTAATTAGTAGGTACCCGTTTTATAACTTTATAAGGAATAAGTTTATAAATTCTAGTTAGGTTAAGTGTTAATTAAATTAATATAAATACCTACTTAAGTTTTATTTTAAATATTTAGATATGTAACACATTATCTAACTTAAATTTATTGTTAAATCAGTCATTAAAACGTAATATATATATATATATATATATAATGGAAACAAAAAGAATCACAATTCAACTCTACATCACTGTCAGATAAAATTATAATTATTTTTGACTTAATTGTATTGTAATTCAACTTTAAATATCTTATATATTATCGCTAGTGAAAAACAGTTCTCAATATTTTTGTTCAAGTGACAAAATATTAATAATTACAACAATGGTCATATTTTCTTCGTCTACTTTAACTTTTGAGTTAATCCAATAATTCGAAAGTAGACAGGAGATTCTTATCACATGTCGTGTAATACAAAAGACATTAAAGTACATGTAAAGCCATATAGATTAAAACAATGTTGTCTTGTTTAGAAATTGTCCATCTACATTATTAATAGTTAATACCATAATTAAATATTATATCAACCATCAGTGGGTAACTCTACTCATTAATTATAAATTATAAATAATACTATTAACTAATCTTAGTAATCAATTTGGATACAATTTATTTATTCAGTTATACAATATTACCTACAATAAATTTAAATTTAATTAAATATTGAGAATTGAACATTTTTTTTTTAAAAAAAACCAAAAATAAATTATAATTACAAACATTATAAATAAATTAGAATATTCTGAATTAAACTAAAAATGTATAAAAAAAAAAATGAACACACTTTATTGCATTAGTTGTACAAAATGTTGTGAATGGAAAGAAATTTAATAAGTATTAATTATTTGTATGGTTAAACTGACAGAAATTATTTAATTTTGCATTTTAATATATTGGACAAAGAAAAATTTGTAACATAATAGTTGATTTCACATACATTCATAAATCATTGGGTTAAATTTGGTATAAACAAAAAAGTTAGAAAAACATAATATTGAGTCAACTTAGAATAATTTTTTAATACATAATTGTATTACTAATAAAATCTAAAATTTAAATACAATCGAGTATGCAGCCAAGTCAATTGGATTAAACTACAAATACAAACTTATAATGTTATCTAAGTATTCAAATTTGTAGGTAAAAAAAATGTATACATACTCTAAAATTATAAATAATTGTCAGAGTTCAAATTTCTGGAGTAAAAAAAAATCTTAAAATATAATTGAGACAAACATAACATTATGCCGATCTAGAGATCCTAAAATCGGTAAATACCTATATTTCAACAAATAATTCACAAGGTTTAGTTCTTCAATAAATCTATCTACACATCTAAGTTAAATTTAACTTTCATTCAGGAATTACAACCATAGTATAATATATTTTAAGAGGATAATTTTTACATTATACATGTAGATGTGATCTGGGGTAATTTACCCGATATCTGAGAGTTCCTGGAATGCATAGGCAAAGTCTGATGATGATTTGACTCTGACAATTTTACGCGTAAACTAGTAGGAGTACTTTCTTGTGAATAATGCTGATGTTCAGCGGCTGGAAGGCGGGGCAGTCTGCGACGTAACCAACTGTGCCTTAACGCCATAGCAGGTGTAATACGGCGCTCAGGGTCCCACTCCAAACACTGAGTTATAAAATCCATGAACAGTGGATCATCACAGCCTTTGAGCGCTTTTGATAAGTCTTTAGATTCAGGTGGTCCTCGTGCTTTTCCTTTACGCGATATACTACCTTTGAGAATGGTTGAGCCATCGGGCAATGTTGTCTGGGAACAATATCTTGGATACCCTCTAGAGCTTATAAAGTAATTACCACGCTTTGATGCATCTAATAGTTTTTTAGGTGGCATTCCAAGAAGTTCAATGATACAAGCTAATTGGTCAGTTTCATCTTCACCTGGAAATAATGGAAAACCAGTAAACAGTTCTACAAGAATGCAACCCAAACTCCACATATCAATTGGTAGTCCATATTTTGCACCTAGAATGACTTCAGGTGCTCGATAAAAACGACTTTGGATATATGTGTACACTCTCTGATGTTCAAAACAGCTTGAACCAAAATCAATAACCTGAAATAAAATAAAAATAATAATATAATTATATATAAATAAATATATAATATATACATGTACCAATAATTTAAATTAATAAAAAGAAATACATAAAAGAAACATGTGTATACACTTAAGTATATTTTTGATTACAGAAATAATAATTAACACAATAAAATAAAATAATAGATCTATTATTTACATGTTTCATATTCATGTAAGAATATGTAACTGCATTTCTAAATTCATAACTCAATTTTTGAACATATGATAATTGAAAATTCTAGGAAAAAAATTAAATTCTTACTCATTGGATCTTTATATTTTTAAATTAACTCTACCGCAGGCAGCAAAAAATAACTAAGTTTTATATATAAATAAAATATACTAAAATAATTATTAAGTGATAATTAAAAAATTGTTTCCGTAAGCATGAAGGCTTAAAATCAGCTGATGAATAATAAATATTTATTTAAAAATACCTTTTAAACTGTATTTAAATTATATGTACCAACTTTATAATAGAGTAATAATATTAAATTCTAAATAAAAGAAACATCTACAAATGAGATACCAACCATATTTATGAGATGAGCTACCTAGTAAAAAGTATAAAAACTAATTTTATAGGTAAATATCAATTTGATTTATAGCCTGTATTTCAACAAGTCAAAATAAATAGGAATTTAATATTAATGATTTAAAGTAGCAACATAAACTGTCTAACTCAATCAAAAAGAAAATTTTTCAATAAAAATATACTAATTTAAAGAACATTAATAAATATTAAGAATAAAAAAAAAATTAATAAATTGAAATGCAGTTAAAAAAAACTGTTGATAAAATTTACAGATAATTGATGTCCTATTTTGACTTGTGATATATTTCCTATAAATTAGTTATTATTATTTTAATATATTTATTTAAATATTAATTTTTGAAAATTTATTAATCACTTATAAAATAATTGGGACCTAAACTAAAATATTGATAAAATTATATTTACATCAATTAATAATAAAAATCATGACTCATCATTTAAAAATTAATTAATTAAAATTGTACAGTATTTATAAGTTTTACCTATTTACTTATACTTTTTTAGCTAACATTTTTTATGTAAATTATGTAAATCTACCTTAAATTTATGAAATATTTTCAATAATAAACAAAATAAATAACGACCAAACAATTAAATCTAAATTGAAATAATTATATATATATTATTTACCATTTATAATTTTTAAAAACTTTGAATAAAATAATATTTATACATTTATGTATTTTAAATGAAATGTAATTGAAATACTAATATGAAACAACACAAAGAAAATATTATAAATTACAAATAATTAATATTTACCTTGATGCCACTACGACCATGCTGCTTCAAGAGAACATTTTCTGGTTTCATATCACAGTGAATAATTTTATTACGGTATAAAGCATCCAAGCATACTAGTAGTGAATGGCTAAATTTTCGCACTAATTGAAGACTGAACCCTTGATATTTGTTTTTCTTTATAAGTTCATACAAATTGATAGATAGCAGTTCAAAAGTGATACACATATGTTTTCTGAATGTAAAACTATTAAATATATGAATTATGTTCATTAAGTTATGTACATCTTGTTTACGCAAGTGTTCTAATATTCTGATTTCTTCTTGGGCTTGACGATAAAAACGTTTCTCATTCCTGACTATCTTGAGTGCAACATGTTCATTGAGTTTATGATCATACGCTTTGACTACTTGACCAAAACTGCCTTTACCGATTACTTTGAGCAACTCGTATCGATAAGCAACATGATCATGAGGAACAAAAACATAGCCACCTTGATCGTTGTCGAATAATGATTGTGTTCCATTAAATGGTCGTTGTTTCTTGTCAGCTTCAATGCCGAAAAAGTATATCTCAGGAAAACCAAATATTTCCATTTTTTCAAATTTGCTTAAGCTGCTACTGTATTTAGTGGACACATAGTCAGGGGTGAAACCCTTTTTTTTCGGTTTGCTCAAAGACGTTACTTTAGAATTTTGAGTACTACTCGACTCGTCTTGCTTGTTGATCGGTTGAAGACAAGTGGTGGCAGATTTGCTGACACCATACAATGCGTCCTTATTCTCTACGTATAAATCTATGTTGCTCGGTGCTTTGTCTACGATAATGTCAAGGTTGGATGGCTTTGAACACTTCTTGGCTAACTTGGTAGTTGCAGCAGAATTGGACTTCTCGAGTATCTGGGAGTACTTGAGTAGAGATGGCAGGTGATCACTGCTGCAGTCCGACTGTGATATGCAAGAATCATTGGACGCACTCGACGCGCCATTGTTGTTGGACAACAGGATATGCGGTCGGCTACGAGACAAAGGCATCTCTTTAATTGTCGATACAGGATTAACGGTGGTTACCGTGATACTCATTGCTGTTCAGGTGTCGCGTACCTAAACACGCAGGCATTTAAGTACTCTTGGTAGTCGATGGTGTCTCGTCGATCGCGATGTTATTGTTGTTGTTTCCAGCAGTTGTCATATCTCGCGGAAACGGTGTATATTATATTGTTGGGTCGTCGCGATCACCGTTAACAATGTTACATACGATAATAATATGTAAATGATTTTTTATGCACGTACGTGCATAGGTTAAAAGAGTGATAATCTATGTGATGGGTATTGTTTGACTACCCGTTTGGAAAGAGACAGTGAGATAGTGCGGAGCGAAAAAAGAACCAGTGAGAACACGACGGACTTCGTAGAGTGCGGCTTGTTGTCCGACGACGGAGACGATTCGACTTTGACGCGCGTGTCGTCCACTGACCGAGTGCACACACTTGGGTGTTGCGTGCAGAGTAGAACACGGACGACGACGACGACGACGACGACGACAGCAGCGGCGGCGGCGGCGGTGGCGGCGGCGGCGGCTGCGGCTGCGACGACGGATCGCGCGCTCGTCCACTTATTGCGGACTACTAATTAAGTTAAAATAGATTGAACAAGAAATCATCGGAGGGAACGAGTGTGAACGAGGGTGATGTCGGGAGAAAAGTCGCGGCGGAGGAACGAGAGACAGAAACGAAAGAAAAAAAAAAAAAAGGAGAGAAAGAAAGAAATGTTAACACTGTTACGGAAATATTATACTATTATTGTTGTCACTGCTACGGCGTACAATCCACGCACACGGATCCCGTGCAGCGAGCGAGTACGAGCCGACGACGGAATAATAATAATAAAAAAAAAAAAAAAAATAATAAAAAATAAAACAAAATAAAATAATAGTGTTAACAATTATTGTTCGTCGGTGCAATACACTCGGCGCGCGCGCGACGGCGGTGGTGGTGGTGAACCCGATTCGTACAGTGCGGCACCGACACCATTGTCACGGTCGCGCGCACGGTAATATTCGTCCGACCGCCGTGGTCGAGCGTTTTCGTCCGGCGGCGGATTGCGCGTGTGGGCCCTTCCCCATTCTCCCCGCCTAAGACGACGACGCCTTCTAGGACCCCCCCCCCTTCCACCCTAGCCCCGCGGCGCAGCCGGTGCGGACGCGGCAGCTGCGAACGGGTCACTGCTGCACGCACTCCTTTTGTACGGCGCCGCCCGACCGATCTCGCTCGATCCCTTAACCGCGCGGAAACGTGCCCGATAATGTTCCAAATCCAACGTTGCCCTTTTCGCC